AGGGCGGGGATGCCACCACAGGTCCCACCCCACAAGGGGGGGCGGGGGTGGGGGGAGGGGGGGGCGTGGCAGCCCTGCATCATACGTACATACATACGTACATAGATACACAGATACACTGATGTAGATAGATAGATAGATAGATAGATAGATAGATAGAGATATAGATATAGATATAGATATAGATATAGATATATATATATATACATATACATATTTGGTACCTGTTGTATAATTGTCTGTCTATCTATATATATATATATAGAGAGAGAGAGAAGAGATGTATATATGTATATATGTATACACATATATACATGTAGATATAGATATAGATATAGATATAGATTTAGATTTATAGATATAGATAGATATACACTTGCAATACATGCAAGGATTATTCGCATAAATGCAACTGCTACTGTAGAGGTGACGAACAGCGCTGCTGGTGGCGCCACAAGGCACCGGGAGAAAATCAGCATCACTCCCCGGCGCAGCGGCCTGTGCCCACCCGAACATGTGAAATCTCAAGGCCAAGCATGTTCTACCTGTAGTCTCCATTCTAGTTCTTTAGGTAGTAATGAGGAACAGAACCGCTGGGTCAGGCCTGATGGACTGATGGACCTCTGAAGGTGGTTTCTTTTAGTAGGTGCATCAGCATTTGATGTTGAGACGGGCCCGGGGAAAACCGGCGTTGCAAAATCTGGCCGTATCGACATGCGTTGATGGAAACGAACCCGTTCGAACAGAGAATACTAGGCTTGCGCAAGCACGAAGAGTGCCGGGTTTGATGTCATTTCTACGAGGCCGCTATTCTTTGCCTCGACGTGGACTGGGACACTGACATGGCTGCTGCACTGGCGAGTTTGCCAGTAATTACTGGAGAGTACAACATATTTAGTGCATAAGCAGATTGAGGCATGTGTCGAGTAGCTATGATCTAGTTTGATGCAATTTTTACGACAACGAGTCGATGATACTCCAGCTCAGATGTAATGCAAGCGCAAGGTAACTGGCTCTGGCGATCACACTCTGGCCCTGAGCTGACTTCGAGAGCGCTTTGTGTGGAGGGTTTAGTTGAGCTTCGTGGTTGCAAGCGAGGCCCTGTGGGACGTGAACGAAGAGGTGCCAGAAGACAAGGCACTTGAGAGCTTCTTTCGAGGCCCGCATCCGGGGAGTGGGTGCATGGCAAGTGCCCACAAGTAATGCCATCGATCATGCTTCTGCGACGGCTTTCTCTACCGGGCTCTACTACTATATTATGTGTTGCTTCATTTGGTGATTTTTCAGGCCATTTATCAACATTTTGTCGTCGTCTTGAGCATGACCTCAAGTCCAGCAAATTAATGTTATGGTCCCCATCGCCATCACCGTCATCATTGCCATATCACCCTCGTCTTCATCGTGCAACAACTGAGGTCGACTCCTTCGTAGCATATCCGAGAATGCAGGCCACAAAGACTGGGTGACGTCCGTCGACGTGGACTGGGATGGCAGGTGCGCCAGTGCCGCTTTTTCTTGATGCACCTATAAGACCACATTCCTGCGATCCGCGCTTTCATGCTTCGGAAAGTCCTGAGTGAAAATGCTCATTTTAGTCGGCCTGTGACCTTTGAGCGTGGGATGTTCATATGCTGCTGTGCATGGCTCAAGCTGCCTCCGTGGTGCCACCTCACACCGCGCACAAAGAAAGTCTGCTTTGAGACACTTCCATTCATACCTATGGCTAAGTCTTCCGCCTTCTCTGCACATTGTGCAGTTCTCCTGCTGGCCCTTGGAGGCTGCAGCGCCCAATTTCTTACAGACGCACCAGTCCCACATCCCAAGCAGCCCATCATCACAGAACTCAAGGATGTCATGACCAGCACTGAGTCAACGGAGGCTCGCATCGCCAGCTTGCAGGATGAACTCTCAAGCATCTTCCTCGCTCTTCCGAAGAACTCCAGAGGTGCCGTGCGACCACCAGCTGCGCGCTATGCTCTTCATCGTTTGTTCGTTCAGCGTCACGGCTGGCAGTTCCACGGCTTGGAGCCACGTGGTGAAACATGGGACAGCTCCTCGCCTGCGACTGCCTTGGGAAACCGTGTCTCGGAGGATGTCTATGCCTTGTTTGAGAGTCGACTCACGGACCATGGCTTGGACCTCCATGACTTGGCCGTGCTTGCCGCCATGTTGGAGAACATGGTCCACGCAGAAGCGGATATCCGCCTTACAGCTGCCATGAGCGCTCAGGAGAAGCCCCTTGACCGCGTATTGAACATGACAGAGGCTACCGAAGTCTTGGAAACCTACATGGCCAGCTTCGTCCTTGGAGCGGACATGCAACACCTGCAGCCTGACAACATGTTGCAGAAGCTTGGTGAGGTTGGGGAGCAGTACCCGACTTGGCCGGCAACACAATCCTTCTTGCAGGAGACTCGCCAGGACATCCTGCCTAGTAAGAAGGAGTTGTCCTTCAGGGACATGTCTGAGGTTGCAGCGGCAGTTGGGGAGCGGTATGGCCGCTGGCAGAGTCACGAGTGCTCAGCTCTGAAACATGAGCTGCTGCAGAGCGAGGAGCACCCAAACACTGGCCGAGTTCGCTTGAGCGATTTCTATGGAATGGCCCTTCATGGGGGCAAGTGGCAGTTCAGTGAGAGCGTCTCCTACCTCCGGCAGCTTGGTGCTTTGGACGAGACGGATCCTGATACAATCCGACTCGTGATCCCGAACTACATCCTTGGCCCCTCGAACTGCATTGCCTCCAGTGGCTACTATGCTGTTTGCTGCATTGACGAGTGTGATGCTTACCTGAACTCTTTGGAGCAGAAGCTGCAGAGCCACGAAGCCTCAGCAGAGGCCATCATCAAAGCTGTGAACAGCAGCGTGGCTTCAAGCCTGAAGCAGCGTTTGCGTGAAATCGAAGCGCACCACGGGGGTTTGGTGCCACTCCATGGACGCCTCTTTGCGCAGTGGCTCCATCACCTGCACCCACGCGAGTGCCCTTATCCGCACATGTCTGGGACCACCAGCCCTCTCAGGCCGGAAATCTTCGAGCAAGAGGTGGGCGAGCCGGTGGGTGCATCAGAAGAAGAGATGATGCAGCATGTACAGACTGCCTCCTGGAAGAAGCCTCCCACACACGAAGAAGGCATGTGCTCCAGCATGTGGACTATGGAGGAAGAGTTGGTCGATGCAGTCGCACATAAGAAGGCACTGACGGCCAAGCGCCGGAAGAGTGCCAGCCGGGCAGTTCTGCACGGGGTGGCTTTGTCTGTGGCTGTCGTGTCCTTGGTGATCACCATGGCAAAGCTTTTTGCAGGAGCAGGTGCAGAGAGTGGATCCAAGGTACCTGGCACCGAGAAAGTAAAGGTGTACAGCGTTTAAGTTCGCCTGCTTGACTGGACATGACTGGGGTGCTGTGCCTCAGGCACAACAGCACAAGATCAAAAAAGACACGAAAGCACCCCCACTGCATGATTAGTGTTAGTGTCGTGACCCGAAGACAGCGAGCCGCGATTTCATGGTTCCCGATTGCAGGCGGATACTTTCCGGGGCAGCTGACGGAGAGGTGCGCATCTGGGATTTCGATTCGGAGGAGTCTGTAGGCGCCTCAGCCATCTGCTCTTGCAAGGGGGTGAGAATTTTCATTCATATCTCTTGGCAGCTTGGCTCATTTGAGATATTTGAGGTGGCCACCCTCTCGGACCACACAGGAGCTGTGCCTGACCCTTGGCTTGTCGTAAGTCTCCTTGCGACTCGTGCCGAAGACCGGCTTTCAGGTGCTCCGTTGCTGCTGCGTGGGACCTTCAGCGCGCGATCTCTGTCGGACAGGATCAGATCGTGAGGCCCTCTCCTGGGCTTGAGGGAGAGATGCAAATCGTGATAAGAATGAAAGCTTGGCGTGACTTCCCAACATACTGTCACTGTGCCAGCGAGCGACTTGTGCTCTGTAGCTATTCTAGATCTTCACGTCGCGTGTGGAGTACGTGTGCAGCAGAAGGAACTGGGATTTGGAGACCGGCCGCTGCATCTCGCGACTGGAGGGTCACACTGGCGCAGCACTGCTCTCAGAAGCCGCGAAGAGCATGCAGCAACGTGCCAATCACACTTCTCCAGGTTCCCTGGCCCCCACCCCTTCTCATTGATGCTGGAAATTTACTGGGCAGTGTCTTCCTCCAAGCAACGAGGTGTGGTGCTGCAGCCTGGACCCCGATGGCAACAAGGCCGGACATGCTTTTAAACAGCAGATCTGGCGAGGCTGTCTACGAGAAGAAAGAGAGCATCCCACTACTGACCGCCAGTGCCATCAGCAAGAGTCATCACGAGAGCGAGAGCCGCAGCCTCGAACACGACAACCGCGAGAGTAAAGCCCAAACGGACTTCAACGGCGGCATTCACAGGCACAAGCGACAACAACTATGACGATGAATAATATGCACGCGAAAATAGAGACAAAGACTGCCGATGATGGTGATTGTACGGAGAAGCAACTTACTGGGATCATGATTTCAGTGGCCATGATGAGTGTGCCAATGAAGGTGAGGGTGCGGTTGCCGGTAGCGCAAATCGCGTGGGTACATCATCCATCTAAAATAGCTGTTGCACGATGGCTGGCTGAAAGACGAGACGAGTGATTGGATGCGTGAATGACTGGACTGAGTAAAAAAATATGGCGATTAATTCTAATGCTACGCCGTCCGCCTCGGCCTGACTGTGGCGGCAGCACGGAGCCTTCAGCTCACCGACCGAGTCCGCCGCCCCAGAAGGGGCCGAGTCGTCGCTGGTCTGACATGTATGTAGCCATCGCAGTTGCGGTGGAAAGCAGCATGAGCAGCAGCAGGAAGAGTGGCGGCAGCAGTGTACTACCAGTAGCAGCCGCAGCAGTACTAGTTGTTGAGGAAGCAGGAGCAGTGTCCAGTAGCTGCAGCAGTAGATGGGGTAGGGGTGGAATGGGCTGCGGGTTGGGAGATGCGTAGGAAGGGGGGGGGGGCAAAATTGCACAGAAAAGCGGGTGTCACTGGACTCTTTTGGCTGCAGGGAGGAGGTTTAGGTAGTGGGTACTAAGTGATGGATTCATGTTGCTTGTGTATGTTTAACTGTTTGGGACAGCCCATGCAAGCCAAGAAGCTTTACTGGTCAGAAGAAGTACCAGTACCTGAGTCATTTTAACGGAGCAGCACCGTGACACAACCCACTCAGTTTCGCTGACTGCCGAAAGGGAGGGGGGAGGGCGGTGGAGGTGTGGCGATGTGTGGCGGGCTGGGCCCCCAAGACGCCTGCCGCCTGTTTCCGCGCGGATTGTTTGGGATGGCCCATGAGAGCGAAGAAGTTTGGCTGGTTTAGTCGCAGTACCGGTGCCGCGAAAGAGAAGGGTGGGGGAGGGAGGGAGGGGGTCGAATTCTGGGCCAAAAATAGGAGGATTCGGTGGTATTGAGTTAACCCCCAAGACGCCAGAGGCCTCTGGCCTCGGCGGATGAGTGAGTCGTGGAGCGTGCTCATTCTCAAGTAGCTACTAGTAGAATTTAGTAGAATTTACTTCTTGTCGGGCGGGGTCCCCCACGAAGAGACATTGTATGCCAGGAATGTCTAAGCAAAGCCCAAGCGTATTCTATCGATAGGTGGCAGCAGCAAGACTGGTAAGTCCGCACCCTCCCACTGCGATGTGTGTTTGGCTTTGGGCAGAAGATTCTGTTTATCGTTTTCTGGCTAGTCTATTTGCCGCATGGGGCAGGGGTGGTGTTTTGCAGCAAGTTTGCAAATGTTTGCAAATTCTATGTATTTACACGACAGAGGATGAGTGGTACAGCACGGAAGCGACGAAGCAGTCAACAACAACCTACTGTACTGACAAAGCTTGAATTTGTTTGCAGGCCGTGACTGGTGCTTTCGACCGTCACCTGATGGTCTGGGATTTGAGAATGCAGTCTTGTGTCAGGCCGGGGCACATGCAAAGAGCACAGCATGCCGCTCTTGTCAACAGAGTTTCCGCAAGATGGTCGGATGCTGTGTGTAACAGCAAGTTCTGCAAACCTACATGCTGTACGATACTGTGCTATACTGTACTGCACTATGCCATGCTATACTAAACCATACCATACAATCCCCGGCCCAGGGCCATGTTACAACACGGCCGTCAAGTTGTTGACCTACGCGTGGATTGGCCGACGCCCAGAGCTTAGCCTTCAAGAACTTCCGGAGCAGAGTAGAACAGAGCAAAGCGAAAAACACAACAAAAACTGCGCGGGCTTTTCACTGGAAGCTTAGGTTTCAGGGCATGAGCTGCTCCGCAGACCGCAGCATCATTCTCTGGGACCTCGAGGCTCCTGCAAGGAGAGGTGTGTTTGTGGAAAAAGGTGGTGCCTGCTTGTGGTGTTGAGGTGGCCGAGCCTTTGCAAAGGTTCGACAAGCATCCTGGCAGCGTGTGGTGCTTGCCCCACTGCCATGCTTGAAGCCTGTCTGGTGATTCTTGCATGAAAGCTAGAAGAGCAATGGCTGGTGTAAATGAGTCGCATTCAGACGTGTCAGGGATGTGGACTGGGCTGGGCGGAGAATGGTCACAGGCCCTGCGAAGCTTGCGGGGACGTTCGCAATGGTTTGGAAGCCTTGATGTTTTGCTTCATAACGGCCTGTTCCGAGAGTTGTCCTCGAGCTGAACGTTGTCGCTTTCCAGCTTGGCTCGGCAGCCCGTGCATAGGACTACAAGGCCAATATCGCAAGCGATTACTTGTAGTAGCCATGATGGTGGCACACCTGATGTCACGTCTGATCAACGCCAGCGACCTCGAAACGCCAGTGGCTAAACCCACTCCCGCTGGATGTACTTTGCTGAAAGACCCGCGAGTACCCAACAAGGAGGACGATAAGAAGCCGGCCGAGAAAGATGTCAGACCGATGCTGCCGCTGATCAGCAAGAGAGTAGAGCAAGAAGCACTGGTTGCGCAGGCGCAATGAACGAGTACAGACGGAGCGCACAGAAATGGGCATCAAGAGGAATGCTCACGGTACCGTTCCCATCCCCTGACTGAAATCACTTGCAGGGCAAGGGGAGTTCAGAGGCAGGCACCACAGGGACGTTGCCTCAGCGGGAAGCAGTGATTGTATAAATCCTTACTCTAATTTCACGTTTTGTGACCGCGTGATCTCATGAGTCATACTCAGACTTTGACAGCTTTCTAAATATCCGGAGGCTTTAGCTTTTTGCTGCCTAGGGGATCACGCAAGGTCCTTTCTTGCATGTCCGATGTTGAGAAGGCTGCCTCCTGTTCCGAAATACAGGTTTGAAGTCAGCACAAGCTGCGCTCACCGAAGTAGTGATCTTCTCCACTGCACCTCTGTATTCTTGATTGGTGAGCCGTGATCGAAAAGCGGTGTTTTGCACATAGAACTTTCACGGTTACCATGTGCATTCACGCCCTCGCCGAATTGCTGCCTATGCACACACGCAAGCTCCTTCGACTCGTCAGGAGCGGGGCCTGGAGACAACTCGATCTTCGTTTGGGACAGACAGTAGCGCCCATGTACATCGAGTGTTTTCCCGAGCATGTGGGCTTCTCCTTCGAAAAAGTCCTTGTGTTATCTTGTAAGGTTCCTGCTCAAGTACCCGCTAAGGGTTTACATGAGCATCTTCTTGAAACTTGAACCCAGAACCCTAAACCGCCTAAACCCTTTAAAGACAGGAGTTTAAAAAAAAGACAGCACGGGTTTCCTCGCAGCGCTGCAGGACTTCCGAGATGGCTTTGTGGAGCGCCAGATCCTGGGACATGAGGGAAGTGCGGCGGCCCCAGAGCCCCCAGCGTTGCATCCGCATTCTGCCGTCGCTTTCGTGCATCTGTGGGTGTGCACAGAGACATAGGCATGCATAGACATGTATCCAAAGATGTAGTTCTACTGCACATCCACTTTGTCTACACTCCCGCTCTCAGGTTTGGGCGCTGGCGGTTGACTGGGAAGTTGCCCACAAGGCACACCTGCATATCTACTATGAAGACAGTGACATTGGCAATAACAAAAGCCCATGGTCATTGTTGTTGATTGTCCACAATAGTTACTGTAAACAAGGACCTGACATCCGCAGAAGGCCTTCAAAAGGTTTGGGCCACTCCAGGCCTTGTCTGTCCTTCTCTAGTCTGCTGCCTCACACCTCCTCCGCTAACGTGTTTGTGAGCCAACAAGCCAGCTCCACTTGCAGACGCAGTTGTTGCGGATGGCACGCAAGCAAAGACACCTTAATGCAGTCGGTATCCGGTGCAAGGCGTTTGAGACGGCCCAAGGCGTGGGCCTCCAGACAGAGGCCGGCATTGAGCCTCCAGACTCGAGCCCCGGCAAGTCTTTAGACTGGTTTTTAGATGCTCTCAGCTGCAATGGGTACATTTCTTGCGGGCATACAGAAGCAAGCAAGCAAGCATGTAAGTAAGTTAACAAGTAGGGAAGTGAAACGATCAACAAGCCATTTCATGAGTTGTTTAGCTGCCTGATTGATCATCTTCCGAACAGACTATCTAGTTTCTGAACGCGAGAGTTGCTCCGGTATATATATATACATATTATATATATATATATATATATATTTATTTATTTATTTATTTATTTATAGGTAGGTCCAGATATACCGACGTGCTTACACTTCCACACATATATATATATATATACGCACATAGATATGCATACACACACACACACACTCACCATGCAAAGCAATCAATCGCAGAGAATGTGCATGACATTCGTCAGAATGTGCTGTGTCGTTGCCCGATGTGTTGAGGAATGTGCCAAGCAAGGAAGAGATGCAGAGTGGAGGGGAGTCGCCTGACGGCAAGTCACACAAGGGAAAGAGAAGGAAAAAGTGGGTCAAGCGCCGGGTGAAGACCACCGAGTGACTCTTGATATCTGGTATGAATGACCGTACAAATGCTTTTTTGTCGATACTGAGAAACCTGGTTGGTTGTGTTATCACCGAGGCTGCATGTGTGCAAGCAAGTCTCACAAACCTGCTGGTCGAGGAATACTCTCAGCAACCCCCGACAGAGCATCCACGGCTTTTCTTGAGTCGGTTGGGTTGCAGCAGCTTCTAGTGATTCTAGTGATTGCTGGTTGCTTCCACGTGTGCACCAGCAAGCCGGGATGCTCCCGCACAGATTCAGGAAAGGCTTGATCAGTGGCAGCAGCAAATACTTACTGGGTCTGGAAAATCAGCACTTTTGTCTTGTTGCTCTGACTGAATAGGGCTTGCCAAGCTAATCAGGCAGCCTGAGTCATTGTACGTATGCGCGCCGGCGCAAGGTCCTCAGCTTGGCAAAAGAGCAGCGTTGTCACGTCTCGTGGCATCAGGGACGGTATCGACAGGGTTTCCCTCCACTCCAGCATGCAGCTCACGGTGCTGCTTAACTTGCAAGGGTGTGCTGGAACAACTGGAACACGAGTGCAGAAGGAAGGGAGCGACATGTTGGGGCTTTAGGGGTTTTGGGTTTAGGGCTTGGGGGCGTCATACGAAACTCAATTTTTGGCCCCTTGCCCCGCTGCGCAGACGGAAGCTGCGGCTGTTGACGCGGGTGGCGAGTCTCTCTGCAGTGGCTGCTCCAAGGACGAGGTGGGGAGATCTAACGCTTCATCCTTCTTTGCCCGCATGCCAAGCAAGGAAAGACACACGTTGATGAGCCGGCAGATGGAGGACGGTTTAGGCCAACCAGAATTTCCAAGGCTCCACGAGCCGTGCGATCACGCAGGACCAACAGCGACTGCAAGCTGAGTTTGAGTCATCTCTGCTGGTGCGACAGGAGAAGGCTCTCGAAATGCGAACAGTGTGGACTTGATGTCATGTTTGCTGCACTGCCAGTTTGGGGAAGACGTGCAGCAGCTGGGCGAGAACCTGCACACGCTCCACAGCTTAGAGGAGCACCGGCTGATGTGAGAGTCTCCGAAAATTAGGGGTACCTTATTTTGGGGGTCCTTATAATAAGGATCCTACTATTTAGGGTAATTACTATATTAGGGTCCCCTATTTTCTGAAACCCCCATGTAGCCTCTTTTATCCTTCAACCCCTAAACCCTAAACCCTAAACCCTCACTCCAGGCTGCCTCCCTGGACCAGCTGCGCGGAGGGCTGGCGGAACTGCACGCCGCACTGAACCGCGAGGCGCCTCCTAGGGCCCTGCTCCTACAGTAGGGTTAAACTACATATAGTCTCCAATGTAGTTCCTTTTGAGGGATACCTTATAAACTCGTTAATATATATATATATATATTTGGTTAAACCAAAAAAAGGAACTATAATGGAGACTATAGGTCAAGCTGCTGTTCTTGCGGACATGTTGCGCATCTTCGCGGTGACCGCCTAGGGCCCTCGTCTTGTCAATTGATGTCAAGACATGCCAAGACGTCGAATGCAAGCGTCCTCTGTCAGATGGCTTCGCTCTCACGCGTGGAAGATCAGCTCGGGGAGCTTCGCGAGGAGGCTCGGTTTCTTGCGATTCTAGAGACGTTCAAAGCAGTTTCTCTTGGTAGCCATGTGTTTTGAATGATTAAAGTGATTAAAGCCTTGATATTATACATTACAGACACTGGCGAATTGTGCACGCCTGTCTGTTGATACAGGTTGGATAGATCAGGCTATGGCATGTGCCGGCATGAAAAAGTCATAGCAAGTCTTTGTGGAATTGCAGCCGGAACCAAGCCGCTCCGGCGATCAGGGGAGAGAAGGAAGCGTTCGCACAACAGCATCGCTCGGACCCCCTCATGTTAAGCCGGTTAGGTCTTGCCAGTTCTTGTGAGTGTTGTGACATGTCGTGACCAACTGCGGCGAAGCACCTCGGTCGAGGTGACGCAGCCCAGCCCGGCCGCTGTGCAACAGCACCAGCAAGACCATCACGCCACCATGCTGGCATCCAGGCAAGTCTCTGAGCTGCTACACCAGGCCGGGGAGCAAAGTGACACCGTGGGCTAGAGTGGGCAAGCTGAGCAGAAACGGCTTTTTTTGTGTCCGCAGGAGCGGGCGCGGGCAGCCGCTGCCCGTCTCCGGAACCTCGTAGCACCGCCGTTCAAGGACCTAGGGCAAAACCGCTTTGGGAAGCCAGTGTTTAGTTTGACAACGGCACCAGCAACATGTGATTGTGCGAGGCTAAATCGCCTAGCATTGTCGTGTACGTTGCATTTGAGAGGTCGTTGGCAGTGTCGGGTGCGGGATTTAAGGCCGCCATTTGTGAAGAGGGCTGACGGAGTGACAGGCCTTCGGATTTCGATTCCGAAAGTTATCTGCATCGATAAGAGGAACACTGACCGCTGCCTATGCTCAGTTCGGGCATCTCAGTCAGTCCGAAGCCAGCCCGAGCAACACCCTGGCTAGCAGCTAGAGGCCATAGGCATTCAGTCAGCAGTCAGCAGTCATCGCACAAGTCGTGTCAGTGGGCTTTGCCAACCCCTAGCGATAGGCAAATACGCAGACTTTCTCGTGGACGCAACATCTGCTGGCAGGACATTGGCTCTTTGCATGCCGCGGGCCCGGCGAATCTGCATTTCGCTTGACCTATCGGGCATAACCATAGATACAGGCAGTAAGAGTCCGTAGGTGTAGGGCTGGAACGGTTTTGTCTACATGTTCCAGGAGCGATTGTGTGGCACGACCTCCGGCAGAAAAGGCTTCCAGAGGGATACTTTCGGACTTTGTTTTGTCATGATTGGCGATGAGGCGATAGGTGGAACACAGGATGAGCATCTGCTCCATTCAAAAGCAGGGACTAGGACGCGCCTCGCAAACGCTGCTATGTGCCTGGTGGCCCCTTTTGAGGTAGCCTTTGTCCTTTGGAAGATGCAGTCCCGGCATCGTGTGGCCCGGGGACCAAGATCCAGGGGCCGATGTGCACGCAAAGGTGGCCATGCCGTGTGAGTATCCCCCTCGGACTACATACTGCTAATATGGCAATATTGAATATGGCGATTCTCCCATCGCTATAGTTCTGGGAGGTCTAAGCATGCCAGCCTGGTTTCGTGCACTGCTTTCTTTCGCCCCTTTTCCCCTCCTCTCTGGTAATCCCGCTCCTCGGGCTTCCACGGGAGCTCGTGCTGTTGCTGCAGGCTCCGGCTCGAAGGTACTTCGTTGTTCGCTTCTGACAAATGCGAAGCTGGAATCCCTATTTTGGGGGCTCCTTATTATACTTATAGTATAATGGACCCCAAAACCCTATTCTAATTATTAAATTAAGGCCCCTAAACCCTAAACCCTTATAGTATAATGGACTCCAAAATCCTATTCTAAGTATCCTCCGCGATTGCAGCCGCGAGGCCCGAGTCGGTGTGGATCCCGCACTGACATGAAAAAATCGGTGCACGCAGAGTGTGGCGAACGGCCACCCCCGGTGAGTGATCTCGTAATCGTGCAACGGGGCAGTCGAAGGGGTTCGTTCCCCCATGGGCTTACACTAACATTATTCATTATTACTACGTGCTCGTCCTGCGCTCATACAGCTCTCGTCCTTTGCCGCAGCTCGTTCGTCATCATACCAAGCTTGTGCGTGTCGGCGCGATCTGTTTGCTCGGTTGCGCTCAGCTTGGCCGAGGCTTTCGAAAACTCGCTTGCTTATCGGGAGAAGATGGTCGACAGAGCTGACCTGCAGGCACAACTGAGCGACTGCGGCTTTGAGTAGCACAGTACCCTAGCCGCCCTAGCCTCCGGCTTCATGAGGCCATAGTGACTGCTTGGCGCGGTGCCTCAAGGCCATCGACAGAGAGGCAGGCCGGTGATCCACGGCTGTCTTTTTAGAGCAGAATTGAAAGTGTAGCGCACATCATTGTTGGTCGTGGTTGGGGTGGCAACGACCGTGAGGCGTGGGCAGGGGCTGGTGGGGGTGAGGAGAGGGTCAGAGGGCGTCAAAAAAGGTTGGTTGTTCACCCAGGACTCCTTCATGAGGATCTTGCTCAGTGTTTACATCAGGGTCCCACGTTTTTTGCCCGCAGTCATATGGGATGGGAAATGGATCGGAACGCCAGGCTGCTGGACTCGGAGCTACAGGCGGTCATTCTGCTCGAATATCGTTGTCGGTTCGTCGCGAGCGCGGGGAATTTTGATTTAGTTCATTGCTGACAATTGGAACGGTGTGAGGCTACCAGTTGCGATTTCACAGTGAGACTTGCTAGTTCTACTGCTGCGGCTGCTGCTACTGCTACTCCTACTCCTACTCCTACTCCTACTACTACTACTACTACTACTACTACTACTACTACTCCTACTCCTACTCCCACTACTCCTACTACTACTTCTAGTACTAGTACTAGTACTAGTACTAGTACTACTACTACTACTACTACTACTACTACTACTAGTACTGCGACTGCGACTGCGACTGCGACTGCGACTGCGACTGCGACTGCGACTGCGACTGCGACTTGGACTACTGCTGCTACTGCTGCTGCTGCCGCTGCTGCTGGTACTGCAATGCTACAGCCATAGCCACTGCCAGTGCCACTGGCTGCCGCAGCTACTGCTGCTGCTGCTGCTGTTACAGCTACACCTGCTACTAGTACTACTACCACGAAAAAAACTACTGTACTCCTAGTGCTACGACGACGACGACGAAGGCTGCTACTACTACTACTACTACTACTACTACTGCTACTACTGCTACGACTACGACTACGACTACGACGACGACGACTACGACTAAGACCGCTGCGACCCCTACTACCACCACCACCGCGATTGCCACTACTCCTTGTGTTGTTGCCAGTGCTGGTGCTCCTGTCGTTGCTGTTGTTGCTGTTGCTGTTGCTGTTGCTGTTGCTGTTGCTGTTGCTGTTGCTGTTGCTGTTGCTGTTGCTGCTGTTATTGCTGTTGCTGCTGTTATTGCTGTTGCTGTTGCTGTTGTTGCTGTTGTTGTTGTTGTTGTTGTTGTTGTTGTTGTTGTTGTTGTTGGTGGTGGTGGTGGTGGTGGTGTTGTTGCTGCTGCTGCTGTTGTTGCTGTTATGGCTGTTGCTGTTGTTGTTGCTGTTGCTGTTGCTGTTGCTGTTGTTGTTGTTGTTGTTGTTGCTGCTGCCGTTACTGTTATTGTTGCTGTTTGCTGCTGCTGGTGGTGGTGGTGGTTGTTGGCGTGGTTGTTG